AAAGACACACATCGACAGAACAAAACAGAGAACCCAGAAATAGCCCCTACAAGTACAACCAACTTTTTTTTTCCCCTTAGTTCTCCTTTTTCTTCTCATTTCTTTTGTTTTGATCACATCAAAATTTCTTTATGTGGCCTCTACATTATACTTTTTTATTTTAAATTGTATTTTTTAATTTTTATAATTTGGGGGGCCTAAATTTATATAAACAACCCCATATTAATCAATGGATTTGTTTTCTCCTGTGAGCATTTGGGAATTGGAAGGGGGTAGCTTTTCCAGTTTAAAAAGTACACACACACACACACACACACACACACACACACACACACACACACACACACATCAACACATTCCAGTGAAGTTTGGGGGAAATGAAAACTTATTCTAGAATTCCTCTGAGAGGAAAAATTATGAAAAGTTCTGAAAAAAGAAAGCAGTGAGGGGGAAAGAGCCTGAACAGGTATTAACTATTGCCAAGCCAGACTTCCAGCATTACATATCCTTTGAAGTTAGTACTCACCACAACCATCCCAACTAACCTCTTCGATGGTAACTTGATAACGGAGATGGAATACTGCAATTATTGGAGGGACTTTGGGGTCTTGAATTTTGCAGAGTCTCCTCTAGTTAATTTTTTTTTTTAGTATATAATTTTCTTAACTTCCCTTTCTCCCCTTCCCCATCCTCTGGTAACCACTTGTCTTCTTTTCTATCAGTGAATTTACCTATTCTAGATATTACATATAAGTGGGATCATATATTATTTGGCCTTTCGTGTCTCGCTTATCTCACTTAGCATAACGTTTCTGAGGTTCATCCACGTGATGGCATGTATCAGAACTCCATTTCTCTTTGTAGATGATTCATACTCCATTGGCGTGTATACACACTTCGCTTATCCATTCATTTGTTGATGGGCACTTTGCTTGTTTCCACCCCAAATGATTTTTGACAAAGATGCAAAACCAGTTCAATAGAGGAAGGATAATCTTTTCAATAGATGGGTGCTGGTACAATTGGATATCCATAGTCAAAAATGAATATTGAGCTAAACTTCACACCTGATTACAGATCAACATCCCTGATGAACTTAGATCGAAAAATCCTTAACAAAATATAAAGAATTGCTATTTTTGTTAATATAAATGATTGACTTATATTAATTTTTAAAAGTAGATAAAACTGCTTTCAGTCTATTTCCTGGTATGGGAATCCCACAGGCCCTGACTCTGGCAGACTCCTGATCAAAAGGTATTTCAGAGCTGTACTAGCGCCTGGGGAGGGATCTATAAGAAAGTATGGCCTGAGCCCAGTAGAGCAAGTCCTTGCCATTTGGATGGGCCTCCAGATCAGTCTTCATTTGACTTGAATCCACAATCAATGCCCATGGAAGCAGCAGTCAACAAATCAAATAACATACCACACTGGGCAAATCTGCTGCAAAAGATCTCTTTACAGTGTTGAAAAGCAAAGATGTCACTTTGAGGACTAAGGTGTTCCTGACCCAAGCCATGGTGTTTTCAATTGCCTCATCTGTATGTGAACGCTGGACGATGAATAAAGAAGACCAAAGAATTATTGATGGGTTTGAATTGTGGTGTTGGCAAAGAATACTGAATATATCACTGACTGCCAGAAGAATGAACAAATCTGTCTTGGAAGTACAGCCAGAGTCCTCCTTGGAAGTAAGGATGGTGAGACTTTGTCTCATGTACTTTGGACACGTTATCAGGGGGGCCAGCCCCTGGAGAAGGACATCATGCTTGGTAAAGTAGAGGGTCAGTGAAAACGAGGAAGACCCTCGACGAGATGGATTGACACAGCGGCTGCGACAATGGGCTCAAGCATGGCAACGATTGTGAGGGTCTCACAGGACTGGGCAGTGTGCCGTTCGTTGTGCGTGGGGTCACTAGGAGTCAGAGCGGACTCGATGGCACCGAACAACAACAACAACGTAACTGAATCAACTGTCCACTATCAAAACGGCGCTGGTCCAGGGCGGACGTTACCTGGCATTTCTGGAGGACGCATCCATGTGCCAGGCACTATTTTATGCACAATAGTGACTCATTTAATTCTCACAACCACCACTTCAGGTAAGTTCCATTATGGTCTGTATGTCACACCTGAGAGAGCTGCAGCACACAGCTGTTGAACGGCTCGCCCACCGTCACCTAGATTGTAGACGGAGCCCAGGGACATCAAGCGGGCCAGCGTTTTTGAGAGAAAAGAGCTGAAGGATTTCAACCTGGCGCACCAGATCTTGTCTACAATTGCTGGAATCTCTCCCTGCCCCATCCAGTTCAAGAAGTGGGAATCCCTGGGCTTCTAAGCAGCCCCTGTGGCCCGAGGCAGAAACAAACCCTCTGAAAAGGTACGTTAGAGCAGGGAGGGCGAGGGCAGCTAGCGGAGCTGACGCGTCTGGCTGAGGTCGCCCTTTCCCTTACGTCAGCATGGGGCTGTGCGTATTCAACCTTTTCCCACAAGTCACCTTGCTGGTGCCTCCCAGCAGACTGGTAAGGCAGGCAGTGGAGGGCAGCCCCATGAGCCTCAGAACAGTACCCTCCTCCTTTGCTTTGCCTTCTGTGCTTCCATAAGGCCTGACTGCTGTCCACCTGCCACCCTTCAGCCCTACTTTATGTCACCCACGTGGATCTGGGGCCAGCGCTTCCCTCCCTCCAGGCCCACCTTTGAACAAAACAAAGTCTCACGGCTTTCCGGTCATCACTACCTCTGACACAGCGCAAGGCACAAAGGGGAGCAGCTATCCGGCCACCACCACCTCTGTCACAGCACACAGCACGGAGGGGAGCAGCTATCCGGTCACCACCTCTGACACAGCACACGGCACTGAGGGGAGCAGCTATCCGGTCACCGCCTCTGACACAGCACACGGCACGGAGGGGAGCCTCTAACAGCTGCAGCTGTCTAAGCTCCCTGTCAAGCTGAGCCTGGAAAAACACCTCGTATGGAATGTGGCAGCTCCCAGGAGAAAAATGACCTGGATTATTTCTTATGCTCCCTCCCATCCTGGGAGTCTGGGTTCACGGTTGCACTTTCTACAGTTCGGGACGCCTTTAGTGGGATCTAAGCGCCCGTTTTAGACTTATTATTTAGATTCTTTTAACTTCTTTCCTCAATGTCCCGGGTCTAGCCTAGCCTGGGGTCAGGGTCACATGGAGCATAGTCTCAGCTTTTTCTGCGAGTCTGTTCTAGTCCTGTGACCTCAGACATTTCTTTTTTCAGGGAAACACTGACACACCTCCAAATATTTACATTCTCCTCTTAACCAGTTGATTCCTTTAGGGGACAAGATCACATCCAAATTTTGGGTTCTTTCAACCCCGCTAAATTGAAAAATATAAAGTCCGCCACCGGGAGCTCACACTATCATCACTATCAGCAGTAAACTTGTCTTTCTCTCGTTTCTCATGGGGACCGTTGACCTATATCCGACAGCCTGTCGGGGTAACACGTCACGTTGGACTCACGCACTGCAACGGTAGAAAAATGAGGGAAAGAGAAGGGACGAGATCAGGAAGAAGCAGTAAGTGGAAAACATATTCTATAATTTATCACTATACACAAACTGGATGGCGCAGGACCAGGTGGCATTTCATTCTGTTGCACACAGGTCGCTACGTGTCGGAACCGACCCGACGGCACCTAACGACAACAACGACGTACGTACACCGGTACCCTGTTCTGCACGCACGACCGCTTCCCTCCGCCCCTGAGAGAAAAGCAGAGCAGGACCGAGGTAAAGCTCTCCCAGCCTTGCCCCAGACAAAAGCCTTTCCACCCAGCCTGCTGCTTAGCCCCCGACCTTGGAAGGACACCCCCACACGGACCCAGGGCTGCAATGGGATTTTAGCACTCCTCTGCTCCCAAACATCAGAATCCCAAGTCCACCTACACCTGGCCCCCATTCAGCGCAACCCTCCCGCCTGCTTCTCTTAGTCTTACACGTGTGTGCCCCAGATAGACTGAACTCTGTAAGGAAGAGACCGTGTCTGGATCACCAGTACACCCTTCACCCCACCTAGCCTGGTACTAATGACCACTCAATAAATATTTGTTTAACTGATTAATTCACTAATGAATTGACTAATGTCAGAATTACTGAGTAAAATCCTAGTAATGGAAATTGCCCTGATTACAGGGGTGCTCTTCAACTGAGGTGTTACTAATATTTGGCACAGGACAGTTCCTCCTGGGTGGCGCTATCTCACACAGTAAGATACTCAGGGTCCCTGGTCCCCAGGCCCTATATCTCAGTAGAACTCCATAGTCAGCATGTCACCAAAAAAAAAATACCCTCATGCATGTACATACTGCCTGGTGGACAGCACCACTGGAGCTGAGAACCAACATTTAACCAACACATTTAGAAAAACACTGCACTATTAAGAGAAGGCAGGAACAACAGAAAAACAGCACGTTCTCCCTGAAACTGCACACAGATACCGTCGTCATCGACTGCCGCCAGAAGAGGTTCGTACATCCCAAGAAATAAGCAAGACATCTGCTGGCGTATAGATAAATATAAACAACTTCTTTTTATTATTATTATTTCTTCTTAAAACAAAGAATGAAATTAAGCATTACTAGTACCAAAAATAAAAAAACCAAAGCCATTGCCGTTGAGTCGATTCCGACTCATAGCGACCCTACAGGACAGAGGGGAACTGCCCCATAGGGTTTCCGAGGAGCCGCTGGTGGATTTAAACTGCCGACCTTTTGGTTAGCAGCGAGCTCTTATCCACTGCACCACCAGGAGTTAGTAATATGTAGATTGACGATTGTACATCTATGTAACACGAATAAATATACATATACCGGGGGAGCATATGCAAACGTTTTTACTGACGGGGCACAGGATCAAAACAAGATTAGAGACCTGTGGTTTTGGGGGGCTTCGCGCTGCCCGCTCAGAGGCTACAGGGTAACACGCCACTGGATTTTCCAGCCAACGTTGTTTGTGGGTACTTTACCTTTACAGCGTGGGAATCCAATTTGTGGTAAGATCTGTTTCAAGGTCAATCTGTTGCTCTTCAGCCCATGCAGCTGAAGCCATTTCTCTGACGAGATGAGGCTCTGCTCCGCCAAGCCCGTTTTGGTGTTCCTCGTGCCCTCTGGCTTCTGCAGCTGCTGCTCAGAGACCACAGAAACCGAGCCTGATGTCTCCATCTCGGGCTGAGGATCAAGTCATATGAACCTCCTGTAAGGGCAATTGTCACACTCAAGCTTCACGACAGCTTGGGAACAATCTAACATCAACATCAACAGAGGACTGGCTTAATACAAATTCTGGTACATCCATGAAGTTGAGGTCTATGTACTAGCTAAAAATTACAGATGTATATTTGTTGGCAAAGAAGATATCCACATATACTTCCAACAGGTATCCACAAATTCAATATCCGTATGTGTACACACATATACAATGAAATCATCTAGAAAGATATATGCCAACAGATTTACAGTAGTTTTCTCTGTGTGGTGGACATTACGTGTGGGTTTTGCCTTTTTTATATTGTTTAAATTTTTGCTTTATTTGAGCACTTCTAGAACAGGGTTTACTTTTAAAATCAGAAAAATCAAAGCTCTTCCATTTTGAAAAATAAGCATTCTACCCTGGCACTTCACTACACATCAGTATTTAAATTATAATCACAACTGACATTTGGTTTCCAAAGCGTACAAAGACGATAAAATCCCGAGATGAAATTCACCTGTCCTACAGGTGGAGTGACTAACTGATGATAAAATCCCGAGATGAAATTCACCTGTCCTACAGGTGGAGTG